GCCCTGTTTGCGGACCATCGCAAATAGGGCTCAGGATTACTTTTCACAAGTAAGATTTAACATTACCGTACTATTGGTTGTATTTTGTGAATAGAATTTTACCAGATAGTTGAGAAGGAGCAATGATCTTTGATGTTACTGTACTGAAATCGCAGCCAGCTAGCTAAGCTATGTTTACTCGGCTATGAACTGAGACGATAAGTTATATTCCATAATAGAAAAAAATATATATTACTGGTATAACATTGGCCAGCGAATTTTACACAAGTGGCACAGACTGTATTATCAGTATTGGGCAGGCACTACTTGTAGCCTAGCTAGTAACTAGTAATTTTTGTGGTAGCTTCCAGTGGTGACTTGTCAGTAGGGGGATTCTAGAAATATACATGTAAAAATTTAATAAAAATGAAATAGTTTACTCATACTATGTGCCGGCTGGTAGTAAAGAGCCTCAGATTTTAATAAAAACTGGCTTTAATCGGAACTATTTTCGATGTTGTCCAACATGTTTTCATACAGTTTCATGGGCGAGGGACCCCGGACAAATGGATGTCTATCTGAGTCCTTAAATTTTCGGGCAGCATGTGACTTGAAGCTGGTCTCTAATTGGTTTCTTAAAGATTCTCCTCCAGACGCAGGTCGCTGCGTCACTGGTGAATCAGAACTGGATACAAGTTATTTTATCCAATCTGACTGATTGGTTCTCGTCACCTGTCATTCAACTTTACGCTCTTGGCCACTACAGTACTGAAAATGCGCGATTTACCTGATCACAGCCTGACGGTAGTGTGAACTAGGCTTAAGGTGTAGACAGTTACACACATCGTCTGGGAGGAGATTGGAACAGAGGATGTTTTTCTGCTCGGGGAACCCATTGAGGAGACACAGTTTGGCATCAACAACCATCATTCTGAGTTGTTGTCACTGGTTGTGTCTGTGTTTCTCAGGATAAGGCTGCACCACATTGCCAAACTCACCTCTCTTGAACTGCAGAAAGGGAGCACGAGAAAGAAGCTCTGCAAAACAGTCCTCTTTCAGGGGTTTTAGCTCATGCAAAGCTTTCGTGTGTGTCTGTGTGTGTGTGTGTTGGGCTGCCAAATGTCAAGGGCTGGGAGGAGAAGGATGCAGAAGAACGCGGTAGTACAGAGTGTGTGTGTGTGTGTGTGTGTGAGACAGAGAGGGACAAATATAAAAAGCTTTAAGTAGACTCTAATATAATTTAATCATATATTGTTTGTTTGATAATCATATATTTATTGGTTCAAATGATTAAAATATCTGACTTTACTCTCACTATCTGTTTCTGCTTCTCTATCATGTTTCATATTTTCTGGATAAATCCAGAAAAAAAACTCTGAATAGAAGTAATAGTATTCATTTAAAATAGAAAGAATTTGATAGTTAAACTGGAAATGTCCCTGTTTTTTCCCCCTTTTCTGGGATTATGTTCCCAGTTTTGATCTCAGACGTCTGGTCACTTTATATCATATATCAGAATATTATATTACTGTTACCCACTATGAATATTAAAATACGCCAAACCATGTGTCCTGTGTCATAACTACATGTATAACCTTTGCAGCAAAAAACCCAGCATGAAAATCAATTCGGTATTCAGTTCGGTTTAATTAATATGATTAATTAAATGCGCTGAATACTCATTGCACTCATTGCACCTGCCAAACAGATTACCCTGAGTGGAGCAGGTGACCAGTTCAAGATGACGGCCCACGGCTTGTCCGCACCAGTAGGAAGTAGCGGTCGACAGGGCGTCTATCTCTATATTATGTCTAGGACTGCCTTCTTTCACCTCAAAAAACATTGCCCGTCTCCGGCCATCACTCATCTTCTCTGCTTCATGATGTCCAGAATACACTACTGCAATATCATCCTCTATGGTTCACCTGCAAAAGCCCTAAATAAACTTCAATATATCCAAAGCTCTGCACGCCTCCTCATCCACACACGCACCTGTGACCACATCACCCCTCCAGTCCTCCAGAATCTTCACTGGCTCAATGTTCCCCAACGCATTCAGTACAAAATCCTCCTCCTCACACTCAAAGCCCTCCATAACTTTCCTACCTCACAGACCTGCTCCACCGTCACAATCCCTCCTGTAACCTCTGCTCCTGCGACAAAAACCTCCTCTCCCCACCAATCAGGACCAAGCACCGTACCTGGGGTGACAGAGCTTTCAGCATCGCAGCCCTCTCCCTCTGGAACTCCTTACCCATACACATCCGAATGTAGCGACATGGACTCTTTTAAATCACTTATCTAAACCCACCTTTTTAGACATCAAATAATGTTACATTGCTCCTGCTGCTCTTTGTTATTTACACATTTACACATGTTTTTACTTATCATCCATATATTTTTCTATTTCTGTGTTTTATCTTTTTTTTAAAAATGTATCTAACTACTGGTTTTATTGTAAAGTATGTTTGAGTGTCCTGAAAAGCGCTATAGGAAAAAAATAAATATTATTATTATGCCTACTTTTGTGTGAAAACTGGTGATGATTACTGTGAGTAAAAAAGCGTCTCCTCTAGCTCTGTGGCTTTCAAATCTTTTGGTGTCTTTCTCAGGTTTTAATTCTGTTTAATGAACCATCAGGTAAAGGCAGTGATCTGCAGAGTTTGTACCTGTGTAAAGTCAAATAAAAGGGAACACTGAGTCATTTTTTCTCCTGAGACTCAGAAGTACAGGTCAAAGCTAGAAGTTACACAGTGTACGCTCTTGTTTGGTCATTCAAATATTACAAACTGGACAAAGTTTAATTTTAATATAACTCATTAAATACGACCTGACAATTGATGTCTTGCAGAAACAGAAAGGGCAGAAATAATCAGCTGACTTCAGTTGTTGTTAAACTTATTTAAATAAACGTTTGGAAACAAATGGAAGTCATTGGTGAGGCAGCAGGAGGTCAGAACTGCTGCTGCATTAGGTCTCAAACTATTCAATGTTGATGGGGAGATGGAGAGTGATAAGCAGCCGATACAACATCCACACAAAAATACTAGGACTAATGATAGCTGAAGCAGAGGGTTTCGAGCAGGAACACGGGGGCAGCAGGTGACCCGCAGCCACAGATCCAGACTCCACAGCTCCAGAGCCAGAAACACCTGCAGGAAGTGATAGGAGGAGAGAGGAGAGGGGACGAGAAAGCACAAGACTACGGGAAAGGGGAGAAGTTGAGTTAATAACATGTTATAATGAAATAATGTCTTACATAGAAGGAGAGAGGAGCTCAGTGCATCATGGGAAATCCCCCGGCAGTCTAGGCCTATAGCAGCATAACTAAGGGATGGTTCAGGACTCACCTGAGCCAGCCCTAACTATAAGTCGCTCTGCTCCCGGGGGTTCTGGAGCGGGTCCGTCAAGACGGTGTCAGTCTACTGCTGGTTGCCCCGTATTGGCTCGGACATAATATCGCTCCTCGAGGGCCCGCCATGGCAGGTCCCCCTGAGGTTGGACCTGCTGTCTCAGGCGGAGGGCCAGGTTCTCGAAGCTCTGGCTGAGGCCCCCTTCGAACCCCCTGGAGTCGGCTGAGGCCAAGCACCTGACCCTTAAGATGGCCTTTCTCCTCGCTATCACCTCTCTGAGGACGGTGGGTGATCTCCAGGCACTTTTGGTGTCTCCTCAATGCCTGGAGTTTGTCCCGGGCAGGGTCAGATCCATCCTGCACCCCTGTCCGGGCTATGTCCCTAAGGTTCCGTCCAGGTTGGCAGGGTCTACGGTGCTGCAGGCGTTTCATCCCCCACCTCATGTGACGGCAGAGGACGGGAGACTTCATCTGCTCTACCCGGTCAGAGCACTGAGTATTTATACTCTGAGGTCTTCCCGGTGGAGGAAAGCAGACCAGTTGCTGGTGTGTTTTGGGTCCCCCAAGGCTGGACTCCCTGCTTCTAAACACACGATCAGCAACTGGATTGTTCAGACTATTTCCCTGGCCTATCAGGTGCGTGGGTTACCTTCACCTATGGCCGTAAGGGCGCACTCTACTCGAGGCATGGCGGCCTCTAAGGCCCTCCTTGTAGGGGCTTCGCTCCAGGATTTGTGTGAGGCAGCTGGCTGGGCCACTCCTCACACTTTCATCCGGTTTTACAGTCTGGACCTTCCTTCTGCACCCGGCACCCGTGCGCTCTCCTCCTAGTCATGCCTACAGATTTCTGCACGCTGGGGGAGCAGGCGGAGTTCCCATAGTGTCGTCACCGACGCAGTTCGAATTCCCTCGAAAGGGAACGTCTCGGGTTACGTATGTAACCCTTGTTCCCCGAGAAAGGGAACAAGACACCACCTGAGGGGGTGGGGTGAGCAAAGAGCTAATGTGTCCGGAGTGCCGGCGTGCTTATATACGCCTCCAGTTACAGCGTCACACGCTACCGTTCTAGCAACGGCAATAGGATTGGAGTAGTTTCATTCATGTTTTCAGCCCTGCCACGCCCAGAGGCGTTCCCATAGTGTCGTCACCGACGCAGTGTCTCGTTCCACTTCTCGGGGAACAAGGGTTACATACGTAACCCGAGACGTTCTTCAGCTGATGAAACATAATCACAGTCATTATTTCAGGTATGAGGAAGAACATGTAGGTATTTATTTACCTGGCATGTTGTCTTTCAGGCCTCAACCACTTCAGATACTACAGGACTAAATAAAAAAACATACTGTGTGAAGAAAAGCTGAACTCCACATCAAAGAAATAAACATGTTGAAAATTAGTTTGAGGTCTAAATTAATTTCTCACTATTTAAAACATGTTTAGAGATGAGTATAAAAAATCAATCATTTTTACATATAAGAAGCTGCAGCTATAGTAATTATAATGATTTGGATTACTTGTAACACTCAATCAATAGAGGTTACATTAACATTAAATACAGTTTTCCCTTTGAGACTCATTTACATGTAAAAACACGTTTCTTTTGTCCTTTCTGAAATATTTAGAAACATCTGATCATGTGATCTGTTCTGATGTCTTGCTTTTTTTTTTTTACCTGTTTTACTTTCACTTTAATCGTCTCGGTGTGAAGACAGCAAGACTTTCAGCAGGTGAGTGAACTCGACTAAAACTTCATATATTCATATAAAATATAAATACTGAGAGACAGAAATATGATCTGACACACCGTCAGTTTCAGATAATTAACTGTGACTTCAGGAAAATGTGTTCAGGTGTTCAGCAGAAATATACAGCTATCAAACAGTCACATTTTCTGTACTTTGATCTGAAACGATGATTCCAGCTGGTTTCTGAGTTTAATTTAATTTAATTTAATAGTTTTTTCAAAATTGTGACATTTAAATAATAAGAAAATCTTTATAGAGAACTTTTCAATTTCCTCGTTACAAAGTGCTTCACTAAGGCAGTAAAACTAAAACAGACGTCATAAAACCATCACGTTTTAAACAGAACAGATAAAAACAAGAAAACATTTTAAGGAAATAAAAGACAGTTCAAAGAAAATTTAAACTTGATTAAATCAGGAAAGGCTCTCTGATAACTAAATAAAAGTTGTTGTTTTAAGAAGGAGCTTAAAGGAGATCACTGACTCAGCCGTCCTGAGGTCCTCGGTCAGTAAACACTCTGTTTACTTTAGTTTTCAGCCTCTGGAACAGACAACAGACTTTTACCCGAGGATCATGAAGAGCCTTTAAAGTAATCAGTAAAACTTTTAAATCTGTTCTAAAACATACTGGGAGCCAGTGTAAAGAGGATAAAACAGGATTAAACATTTCAGAGTTCACTGGTTAAACAGAACCAGAAAGAGGAGTTCTATAACTCTAATTAAATAAAGTCAAAGTTAAACTGAAAGGTGTTCATATTTATTACTTTTACAGGAACATTTCCTTGTTGGTCTCAAGTTAACTTCAGCTGACAGCCTGCATGGTTTATATAAGTCCTCCATTTTACAGAGAACAAGTTAGTCCAGTTAATCCACACACACACACACACACACACACACACACACACACACACACACACTAGTGATCACACACACACTCTAGTGATCACACTAGTTATAAAAGTCACTCCTGTCTTTAATGTATTTTAATATACAGAAGTAAACCTTACTTTTGCCTGTTATTCAGATATCTTGCTGCTCTCCAGTTGAGTTTCCTGTGATGATTCCAGCAGAGACATTTTGACAACATCTGGTGAGTCCAGTCAGATTTTATACAGAGCAATCAGAAAGAATCAGCTTTAGTTTTATGTGCTGACTTCAGCTATAATTTCAGGTTGTGTAAATTCGCATGGAGGAAGAATAGTTTTCCTCTTTCTCAGTTCTACAGGACCAACATGTATTATTGTTTAGTGTTTCAGTGTTAGAGTTTCTAATTGTATTTCTGTAAAAAAAGAAGAGACATCCTGCACACAGACTTCATGTTTCACCACTTTACTTTTTTTACGTGACAACATTGATGTGAGTCTTGCTCGGCTCAGTCTGTCAAGGTTTCAAGGAAATGCATTCTTTAGATGAGCAGGTGAAAGATAGTCACAGTCATCATTTAGATATGAGGAAGAACATGTAGGCAAGACTTTCAGCAGGTGAGTGAACTCCACTAAGACTTTATAGAAACTTCAAACAGTAAATGCAGTCTGTCGGTAATGTTCAGAAGCAGATCTGATCATTTTAAAGTAATTATCTGCAAAAATAATTGCAGTGTTATTCATATGCCTTATGATGATACCAGGCTGTACGGCAGTGTGTGAGCAGGCTGGTGACCAGCATGAGCGTTGTGGCTGTGTTTGGTATAGTCAGGATTTAATATTAAGGCCATTAAGGGGCCTTAAGTGTTCTAAATCATAGTGGGAGCCAGTGTAAAGAAGTTAAAACAGGAAATTACCTAACATAGCTAACCTTAGCATCGTAGCTAACGCAATGTAGCATTGTAACTTACGCAACCTACATAACTTAAACAAATAGCAAAAGTGAACATTGCCTTATTTAATTTTTCTTTCACACGGGAACCAAATGCCGGTCCCCCCCCCCCCCCTCCACCACCTTAGTGTTGGACAATCATGGCTATTTATATCCTAGACCCGATGTTTATACACAAACACAGTTGCAAATTTGTTCCCAGATGAACATAGTGGCCAAATCTGTACCTGGTTTTGTACCGCTACATCAACAAATAGGGTTTTTCCACAAACTTAGGCCTGGGATGGAGTAAAATTCTCAAATTCTCTCTGAATTACTGTACCAGTCCACTCCTGCACTCAGCTCTGCTGCTCATCACACAAAGGCATGTTCCTTACAAATGTTGCACCATTTAAAAGGGAAAGAAACAGGTTTTCCAGTGGTAAAAGATTTATTGCCAAGAAGCATTGTTACAACAAAGAGATAACTTACCAGACTTAAAAAAATTCCTTACTATTTATGCGTAGTTTATATAACTAACACGAACATCTTACTACAGCTCGTAGCCTACTTGTTTTATATAACTCCTCCATTTTATGGAAAGCTTTACAGAGAACATGTTAGTTAATCCACACACACATGAAGTTCAGATGTTTAGTCACATTCAACAAGCAGTTTTATTATAATGATGTGAGATGTCCAGAGAGAGCGTTGGAGGGAAAGTTGTTGTTGTGGCCGGACTGAGCCGTGGAAGGCAGAGCTGGTAGTTACTGATGGTCAGTGTTGGGTAAGTTACTCAGAAATTGTAATAAGTTACTTTTTACTTATTACCAGGGGCGTTTCCAGGCTCTTGAAACATTGGGGGCTTAGCCCAGCGCAGAAATCTTTCATGCTTTCACCTGTTGGGGCGGCAGTAGCTCAGTCTGTAAGGATTAGTTTGGGAAGTGGAGGGTCGCGGGTTTGAATCCAGCTCGGACCAGAGTTGCGGAGCGTGAACTGCCACCTCTCGATGCAGAGGGGATGCAGCATCCTGGAGACAGTAAAACAGTCTCACAGCGAGGGGGACAGAGACAGCAGGACACAGAGCATCAGGTGTCATGATATTCTGTCACTACTGTGCGGGGACTGTTAACCGTTTGTGTTAATACATTGACTAGACACTGACCAACAACATTTATATTTAAATATTCTGATTACAATTTTGCAATGCAGGAGTCGCGGACAAGCCAAGATTACGTGAACTTCAAGCAAAATGTGTGAGTTATTGCGAGTAGCCTCCGCTCTTTAAAGACCTTCAAGAGAGGCTTTGTCATGAAGATTATTGCATATTAACATGGAAAATATTTTTGTTGCTGTTGTTGAGTTACATTTGGGGCTACAGTCAAAACAAGGTCAAAAATAACTTGCCGACGCCGTTGCTTATTACTCCTTAAAAAAGTAATAATATTACTTTTCTTATTACTTGGTTTTTAAAGTAACTAGATATGTTATTATATTACTTTAACTATCCTTGCCCCACCCCTTCCTAAAAAGTGATGGAGAACCTGTTCAGCCAGCTCTTTAGAAATGAATCCACTTTACTGGAACAATAATTAACCTGAAGAGTCAACAACCAGCCAAACTGAAAACACTGCAGCCTCTCAGACCTGATGATACTGTACAGTAAAGACTATGGATATATAAAAAAGAACTCTTCTGACGAGTGTATACATCACTAGCAGAGGCCTCCAGGTCAGCGCCGGAGTGTTTTTCTAGAAGTTTTGCTGTGCTGCTTTAGTAGAGGCTTCAATAAATTAGATGTAGACCTTGTAGCTCTGAGACTTGAACTGTACTTGACCTGCTGCGCAGTGGTGCATTCATGTGAAGCATGGTGTGTTCTGGTTACTTGGATTAGTAACTCTAATACTCGAATAATTTGCGCATTGTGCAAAAGTTCATTTATTTCAGTAATTCAGCTAAAAGGTGAAACTAATATATTACATAGACCCATTACATGCAAAGTGAGATATTTCAAGCCTTTATTTGATATAATTTTGATGATTATTGCGTACAGTTTATGTACAGTTATGACGCATTGAGATGAGAACGCATTGAGGGTTAAGTCACAGAGTTATTAAGGCAGTTCTGAAGGGCACAAGGGGTCCAGCCCGGTAAGGTGTACCTAATAAAGTGGCCAGTGAGTGTATATGTATTTATATATAAAAAATACATGGATTACATTTATCAATTCAAAAAATGCAAGTGAGTAAACAGGAGAATAAGCTAAATCAAATCAATATGTGGTGTGACCACCCTTTGACTTCAAAACATCATCAATTATTTTAGGTACCCTTGCACAAAGTCAGGGATTTTGTAGGCATATCCTAGGGTGTATGATTAAACAATTAAACATAATGATGCTTAATGATACAGTGGATAAGACAGATGCCTTTGGTGTTAGAGACCCGGGTTCAGCTCCCCAGGCGTGTGACCTCTGACATGTATAATTGTAAGTTGCTTTGGATAAAAGCTAAATGAATAAATGCAAATGTAATAAACCATTCTAAATGTACATCTTTCACAGGTGTGGTCTTTGTTAGTGAAAAACTGGTCAACTGTTAAGTTGCTCTGAAAAAACATTTTGGTGTGTCGATAAGTGTTTTAAAATATTATTGTTCTTCCTTTATGTTCTTAAATGGCAGCATTTGATCTTCAGTTGAATTGGTCTCTGGTGTTTCCAGCAGAGTGACATCATGGCGTCTGCAGCATCAGGTGAGTCCAGTCAGACTGTGTTAGTCTGGATAACACTCTTCTCTCTCTTATACAGATAATAAAAAAGCTGCGTCCTCAGATTTAAATCAGGTCTGTAAATCCCAGATTAAACTCAGCTGATTGGTCAGTCTTATTTTAATCTAACAAAACACTAAATATGAGAATCAATAACATCTGTAGCTCTGTGACAGAACAGACAGAGATAAGCACTTCACACAGAGATACAGTTTCTTCATCATAACTTTAAATATAATCATGATTTCTGTGTAGCTTTAGTGATACACTGATATTGTATTTATTCTCCTTTATTGGCTTGAGTTTTGTGCCCTACAGCTACATACAGCATTTTCAATTGTTTCTCTTTTTGTTTTACTGCCAAACAGCACAGAACCAATATATTCCTACAGGGTGGCAACAAAACAAAGTTTGATGGATTTATGACAAAAGCTGTTTTAATATTATAACCATATAATATTTTCATACTATTAATTCACTATTGCTATAAAAACTTGACTTAAAATTGTATAGGTAACTCCTTGTTGTACTTTCTGCAATACAAAAACGTTCACAGACCTGGAAGACAACCAGATGGGTGATGACCTGTAGGACCTTCTATCTTCTCAGAATTACTTCTCTTTGCTTCTTTGACCTCCCTTGTCAGAATGTTCTTGGCTGATTATACAGGATTCTGTCCCCAGTTCTGTACGCCTTCTTCGTGGTCGACGATTCCTCTTGAGTTTTGCTGTAAACCAGGGTTTATAATTGTTGTGTGTGCAGAAGGTTTTAGTCAGCACACACAAACACTGATGTAAAATGTCACAGTGTCTCCAATCAGTAGGCTACAGTCAAAGCAGGCCTCTAATTCCAGCTTTGGCAGGTGTGGACTGGCCATCAGGAAGTTTAGGAAGATGGCCTGTGATCAAAGAGTTTTTCTTTTTCTTATGATCTGTCACTGCGCTGGCCAACTGGCCGGTCAGCTGCAGCAGAACGCTGTCTGTGTGTCTATCAGACAAACAATAATTTCAATATTGAGGGGGGATACGAGTGACCCCTCCCAACTCGGACTGATCCTCATTTTAGCTAAAATCTGATTGGCTCAAAGGCGCCGATCAAAGGACTTTACTTTCCAGCGTGTTTGTGTGACAAAAGAGATGGTGAATATAGCAAAAAGGAAAAAAAGAGGAAAAAGAAATGGGTAGTTCTGACAAAAAGAGCTAAGAAGAAAAATATGTTGGCACAAGACGCCAAATTAACAGACTTTTTCGGTAGTGGACAGGTTGCGCAGGAGACAGGTGCATGATTAGTAGTCTAGTGTAGCCTATTTATTGTACATTGAAATGATTTACATATGAATTTAGGCATCTATTACATATTTAGCTCTATGGCAAATACCACACAGAGCTTCTGCTTCTCTGACTAAAAACTCAAAGATAGTCTTAGGCTTAATAAAAATCAGTGGTATAGTTTGAGCAGTGCGAAGTCTAATGTTTAAAAGCTGTTTTCTGGTAAATGTGAAGGCATAAAAAGTAATAGAGTGCACAGTACTCATCTGTGGCACCATCTTAGATTGTCCATGGCTAATGGATGGATAGCATGAATAATATACAAAAAATTATCAATCAATTTTATATTTATCAATTATAATAATATTATAATATGTATGTAATAATGTACGGGTAGATGCACTTTAGAAAGTTTTACATAACTGTAACACGAAACTTGAATCGGCACACCCAGATAGTGCATATAAATGGTGCATACGCACAAAAGACGGCATATGCCACTTTTTAAGCACACTTTTTTGGGGACGTTTTTGGTGGATTAAAAAAAATACTTGACTCCAAGCGTAATGAAATATAACATTAATAAAACAAACAAAAGCTGTCCTTAAACAAATAGACACACCTGTTTGATTGTTTAAAAAAAACATGATTTAAGATAATTCATTAAAAATTATAGGTAACACTTTCTATGAAGGTCATTGCTATAATGACTTATGCATATATTTATAACACGATATAATGCGTCCATAAGACTTTATAACAGTTGTTATAATAACTTACAAACATGCATTAGGCGCTATAGCAAAGTTCATAATGTATTATGACCTTTTGATTTAATATTTTATAACTAATAGTGATACCAGTTTATATCAATGTGCGGCAAGAATCTCCGGCCATGTTCCATAACACATTATAACCACCGACTCTGCCTCGTTATGAATACACTTTAGTCACCATTTAGAGCATTTTGCAGTTTAGCACAAAAACACAACATAATTAGATCAAGGACACCCATTCTCAGGGTGGTGAAAGATCAACATCATGTAAGAAGAGGCTCAGATGTTGTCACAGATGAATGGCGAGCCTATGGACAGGCCCTAACAGATACAGTGGACAATTAAAGACAACCACTTCACAAAACGTAGCCTATTAAAAGACATTTAAAAGTAATTGAATGGGAATACTGTTAGCTAGCGCTAACTGCCTTCACTTTTCCAGCAGTTGCAGAAACAACAGACTTAACGGACACGTGTGACTTTCATCGTCACGTTTTCGCCGTTCTGCTACTTGCTCTCTCTCTTTAGTTGGCACACACACTCCTTTGCACACAGGGAGCCAAAACAGCGATGAGTGTTGCTGCACGGTGTGTCGGTGAAAATCAATGTCGCAGTCATATTGATGACCGTGTGAAATTTTATTAGCGTGGTCATTCATTCAGCAGCGGCGAAATGCGTCGAATAAAACACTGATCTCAGACCAGTAACAGAGATCACGGGTGTTAGGTGCACCCCTCCGACTGTGAACATTATAGTATAGTCCACTAACTTATACAGTCTATGATAGTACAGTGTACTTCTTTGCAATGCGGATGTGGAAGATTCTGAATTGATTATGAATGAGAGAGCGCGAGCAGCAGAACGTGACGGTGAAAGTTAACGAAGGAAAATATTTAAGTTACTTCGTAAGTTGTCAGTCTGGCAGAACATGTGCAGTGTAGGTCACAGTGTGTCCGTTAAGTCTGTTGTTTCCGCAATTGATGGAAAAGTGAAGGCAGGTCTCAGATGTGAATGGGGAGCTTGTGTGTTAAATTTGGTGTTATGAAGCTGAGGGTAAAGGTGATGGACTGGCCAAGCATGTCTCCAGACCTAAACCCTGTTGAGGATCTGTGCTGAGGACTCCAAGGGCAATCTGTGAAGCTCTGGTGAACTCCATGCCCAAGACGGTTAAGGCAGTGCTGGAAAATAATTGTGGCCACCAACCAAATGTCCAAATTGGGCCATTTGGTCATTGGTCAGTGTTGGTCATTATTTCAGTGTTGTATAATATTCAACACGGACAGAACTGCAGTAAAGTGAGCTGTCAGCCAGCCGCACCTAAATTTGGAGTGCAAACGTATTCAATGGTAAATGCAGTGAGCAGAGCGAGCTGAAAGGCAGGGTCAGCGACTTAATTCTGTTATTTTCTCTTTACAAAGACAAGTGTTGCAGTATGAGAGTCTGACCTAAAGAGATGCGATGAAGTCTTAGTTGTCAGCGAGCACCACATACAAATTTATAAAACTGCAGCTTTGGTGAACTAAGCACAAGGATACACATGTGAAAACGTCCACTTTTAAAAATAAGGTGTTAACACAACATATATAAAGTATGGAAATAAGACTAATTGGATTAACAAGAAAAACACTTAAATGTTAGGGAAATTAATTTAGTCTTTGCTTCTGTTTTGCTTCGGTTTTGGCAGGATTTTGTTTCAGATCTGGTCCAAAGTTTTAGAAGACTGTATAGAACATTTGAATAATGACAGTATTATTGTCACAAAAAGGTCTACTATAGATTACATGTGATTAAATAAATAAGTAAACTAATGCTTTGTCCTTTCAGTCACAGATGATCAGCGTCCTCTGAAGCGCAATAGCATTGAGCTCCAGCCTCCTGACAGTGAGTCAAACTAAACTGTGTTATCCTGCTGTATAAGAATAACTTAATTATAAATGAATAAATGCAAGTTTGTGTTTATCTTTTTTCCACCTTTTCTAAATCTCAACAAACAGTGTCTGAGCTGAGGGTTGTTCTGCTGGGGAACAGCTGGTCTGAGAGGAGTTCAGTGGGGAACTTCATACTGGGAGAGACTAAGTTCAACACTGAGGAAGAACCAGACGACTGTCTGAGAGAAAGAGGACGGTTGAAGGAGAAAGAAATGGTTCTCATCAACACCCCAGATCTGCTGCATCCCAACGTCTCTCAACACAAACTGATGGAACATGTAAAAACCTGTGTGAGACTCTCTGATCCTGGACCTCATGTGTTCCTGCTGGTTCTACAGCCTGAAGACTTCACTGAGGAACACAAACTGAGGCTCTGCAGAGTCCTGAAACTCTTCAGTGATCGATCATTTGATCATTCACTGGTTCTGATATCAACACCCAGAGAGGAGAGTCCAGGTTTGATGGAAAAATACATGGAACAGCCTCCATTAAAAGACCTGATCAGAAAATGTGGAAACACGTACCTGAAGCAGAAGAACCTTGAACTTCCAGAGCTGTTAACACGCTTGGATCAAATCGTAAAGGAGAATAATGAAGATCATGTCATCTGTGAAGTGTTGAAGGATGCAGGTTCAATCATCAGACCAAAGTCTGAACACATCAAACCAGCTTTAAACCTGGTTCTGTGTGGGAGGAGAGGAGCAGGGAAGACTTCAGCAGCCAAGGCCATTTTAGGTCAGACAGAGTTTCATTCAGTCTCCAACTCATCAGAGTGTGTTAAACATCAGGGAGAGGTGTGTGGACGTTGGGTTTCCCTGGTGGAGCTGCCTGCCTTGTATGGAAAACCTCAGGAGGCAGTGATGGAGGAATCACTCAGGTGTATCTCCCTCTGTGATCCTGAGGGCGTCCATGTCTTCATCCTGGTCCTACCTGTGGGTCCCCTCACTGATGAAGACAAGGGAGAGTTAAAGACCATCCAGAACACATTCAGCTCTCGAGTCGATGACTTCACCATGATTCTGTTCACTGTGGAGTCAGATCCTGCAGCTCCAGCTTTTGTTAACTTTCTGAAGGAAAACAAGGACATCCAGGAGCTCCGTCAGAGCTGTGGAGGAAGATATGTTGTTCTCAACATCAAGGACGAGCAGCAGATCCCAGAGCTGCTGGACATGGTGGAAAAGATGAGAGCTGAAGGATCCAGATGTTTCACAAAGGACATGTTCACCAGGGCTCAGATGGAGAAGGCTGTAGAGCAGGAGAACATTAACACAAGACTTAAAGCTGAACTACACAATCTAAAACATAAAAGTGAGATGGGAACTGATGACAAAGTTCAGAACGTAGAGTGTCTCAGGATGGTGCTGATTGGAAAGACTGGCAGTGGGAAGAGTGCAACAGGAAACACCATTTTGAACAAAGAACATTTTAAATCTACTGTCAGCTCAAAGTCAGTCACCAAGTTTTGTCAGAAAGTAACAGGAGAGATTGATGGACGGCCTGTCGCTGTGGTCGACACCCCCGGCTTGTTTGACACGACTCTGTCCAATGATGACGTCCAACTGGAGCTTTTGAAATGCATCAGCATGTTGTCTCCTGGACCTCATGTGTTCTTACTGGTGCTGCAGATCGGTCGATTTACACGGGAGGAAAAAGACTCTGTAGAACTGATCAAGAAGATTTTTGGCAAGAATTCAGGAGATTTCATCATTGTCATATTCACCAGAGGAGATGATCTGAAAAATCAAACAATTAAGAGTTACATAGAAGAAGACTGTGATGACTTTTTGAAAAAGCTGATAAATGACTGTGGAGGAAGATACCAGGTCTTTAATAATAAGGAAAAGACAGACCGCTCACAGGTCAGAGAGTTACTGACCAAGTGCAACAAAATGCTGAATGAAAATGGAGGCAGCTGCTACACTTCAGAGATGTTTAAAGAGGCCGAGGCAGCGATACAGAAGGAAGTGGAGAGGATCCTGAAAGAGAAAGAAGAAGAGATGCTGAGAGAGAAGGAGGAGCTTCAAAGAAAACATGAGGAGGAAATGGAAGCAGTGACGAGAAGAATGGAGGATCAGAGAGCAGAAATTGAACAGGAGAGAAAACAGAGAGCCAAACAACTTCAAGAAATGGAGGAAAACATCAAGAAGGAGCGCGAGGAGAGACAGAAAGAACAGGAAAGGAGAGAGGAAGAGGAAAGGAAGAAGAAAAGGCAAGAAGAAATTCAACAACAGGAGTGGGAACAAAAACATCAACATCTAGAGAAAAAAATAAAGTCAGAATCAGAGGAAAAGGAAACCATTGATAGAAAGCTGGAGCAGAGCAGAGAGGAGATGAGGAAGAAACAAGAGGAGTGGGAGAAGGAGAGGAAAGAATGGTGGGACAAACGATATCGAGAAGATGAACGGAGACGACACAAGGAGGAAACAAGACTTCAAAAGCTTCAAGAAGAATACGAGCAGGAAAGAGAAAAATCTGACAACAAGAGAAAAGAAGAAGATCGAATCAGAAGAGAACAGGAGGAGAAGGAGAGAAAAGAATTAGAGGAAAACTATAAGAAAAAACTGGAGGAAATGAAGAAGAAATATGAAGAGGAGGCCAGAAAACAGGCAGAAGAATTCAACGAGTTCAGACAGAAATACACCAAAGACTTTGCAGCCTTGGTAGAGAAACACATGGAGGAAATACAGGAACTGAAGCAAAGACATGAAACACAACTGCAAGAGACAGAAGAGCAGCGTAACAAACAGTACAATCTGTTACAAGAGCTCTCAAGTCACAAAGAAAAAGGACTGAAAGAAGAAATAGAGGACTTGAGAAAAAAGCTTGAACCAGAAATAGAAGATTTAAAAATGAAATACCAAAAGAAATGTATCATGTCTTGATCATTATGATGTTAGCAGAGCGTCATTACAGCAGGCATCTGGGCCAGTGAACAGTCTTCCCTGAAATTGAAACATTTAAATGTCAGGCTAGTACAGTTTGATGATTTATTAAGCCAAAACCAAAAGCGAGCACACTTACAAGTTAGCTGAGTCCAAAGAAACCAAGGGGAATAATTCAAAATGAACACACACTGTAAAAATTATCAAGGTGGTTTAACTTAAAAACTTCATTTGCTCAATGCCTTAAAAATGTGAGTAAACTCAACTTTAAGAAAAGCTTTGTTTCAACTATCCAAGTATCCTCAGTGTACAGATACAACTATTTCAACACCTGCAACACATTATATTGTCCAGTTAAACAGTGAACTGTGTGTAGAAACAGTTGAAACACATTATATCTGTAGCTCCATCTGCAGCCTGATGCTCTCAGTAACCAACCTCAGGTTCCTGCAGTAACGCTTCACCTCAGGACTGAATGACTGATGTTGGCCAGGCTCAGTCATTTCTATAGCAGCTGCCATTTTCACACAGACCAGATCAGATGTGGCTCATGACATTAAATATCTTGGTTTCTGCCTGGACAGCAAATTAAACTGGGAAAAAAAACACAAGACCGAAAAGACATTATTTTCAAGTCATTTTTCCTAAGGAAACACCGTTTATCAAGGCACGATAGTCAGTGTTCTTTTTTATTCTGTGCTTTGCTGGGGAGGCAGCATTACTGTTGAGGATAAAAATTGGGGCACTAATTTGATTAAAAAGGCTTGCTCTGTGATTGGCCTCCCCGCTGAGTCACTCAAGGTCACTTTAGAAAAGAAAACATGTACCAGACTGAAGAATATCATGGATCTTGTAGACCATCCTCTCCACAGTGTCCTTAAGACACTTAGTAGTTCCTTTAGTGGCTGAAGATACCTCAGTGTTCTACTGAATGGCTCAGAAGATCTTTTATCCCAACAGCAATTCGATTCTTTAATGAATATTTCTGATTTTTGTTTTTAAGCTCTTAAACTGGTCACATTTTTAAAAAACCATCAGCTCGATCAAGGGTCTAAAAGCTTTAAATAGGTGCATTTTTTTCTTGTCTTGTCTGTACATATTGTCCTTTTTGTTTGTACTTTATGTTGTGTGACGTGAGCTGGTGGCAATTATTCTATTCCTCTGCTAACAAAGTCTTACATTGGGCCTCAGTGCACTTTCAGATAATCTCTGGGTAAATCAATGAAACACAACTGCTTGTATATTTTTATACATATATGTGTTGAGTGAAGTTTTTTTCTATATATTTAAAACTAATAATTGTGCTCCTTTTTAAACCTTATTTCCACTGGCTGTGCCCTCGTAGTTCAGGGATTAAGACACTGACCCCAGTTTATGTCCGGCCGGGGATGTCATCTCTCTACAGTCTGTTTTAAAGACACAAAACAAACGTTGTTTCTTGTCACTTTGAATATTATTTACCATCTTAGTGTCCAGATCTTCTGGGAATAAAGTTTTATATGTTTTAGTCTGGTGCCAAGACGTGATATATCTCAATCTGTTTCAAAGTTTCATTCTGCCAACTGATCAGAAAGTAACTAATAGATTAGATCTTTTTATTTTTTCACTGTAATCAGCAGTAGGAGTTAGACAAATATGTGAACATGCTGTTTTTAAATTAAGGGAGAAAGTTTAAGTTGAGGAAATGAAGAAGAGTTCAGCCTTTGGTTCCAGTGGCAGCTTTGCAAGAAGAGAACAAAATCATTAACATCCAGTTCAAAGTTAAATGATGAGAGATAACGGACTTAAATCAAATCCTGAATAAATCTCACAGCACACAAACACAACATGGCTGCAGTGGAAGAACAAACATCAGGAGGGAGCCAACATATCCAGCCTGTGGAGCAGCAACAGGGAACTACCTCCAATATGCAGAAACATTTGGCCACACAGCATGCAATTCATTTGCAGGACTCTCGCGTGTTTGATGCACTACTACTTAGCGACACAAGTGAGTCAAGCGGCAGCCGAGCTAACGGGACGGCATCTGTTATTAATGCCGAAGGTAACTTTAAACTCTCCAGGCAGGACAGGCCCTGTCTACTTAGTTAATGTGAGCGCCATTTCATTGTGTAAACCTTTACTATACGAATAATCTCTATTGTCATTGTCCATCAAACTTAGATGATGATGAAGACGGCCAGAGTCTGGCTGGCTCAGAGGCTGCAGCAAGTCGCTCTCATGCACCTCTAGCTACTCCGTTCACAGAGGAAGGGAAGAATAAAATGGCCGAGGCTAGGATCAGTGAATGTCACCGAGCAGTGACTAAGTTTGTGGTAAAGGGTTTGCACCCGTTTGCCACAGTAGATGCCTCTGCAGTTCGGTAGGTTAAGGGAGATGATAAAGACTCTCAACCCAAAATACAATGCCCCAAACAGAGACAGTTTAACAAATCATCTGATTCCTGCTTGGTATGGGTTTGAAAAGAGCAATCTGATCACAGACCTGAAACATGTCACACATGCAGCCATCACAGCAGATGGTTGGACTAGTTTCAGTCAAGAACACTACCTCACCGTAACATTGCACTATGTCAGGGAAGGTCAGAGTATAGAAAAAGTCCTCAAAACCAAAGCAGTGTACAAAGCTCAAACAGGGACAGCTGTGGCTGAGGAGATTGAGGGGATCCTGGAGGAGTTTGGAGTGAAAGAGAAGGTGGTGGCAGCAACCGTGGATAATGCTGCACACATGGATGTAGCTGTGAAAACGCTAAACATCCTCAAGTTTCCATGTTTTTGCACACACACTTAACCTTGGAGCTCAGAAGCTGCACAACTACAGTTTCCAACTGGGCAGCAAGGATTCGTTCTGTGATCGTATGGATGAAGAGATCTCACATGGCTAAAGTAGTCCTGACGGAAAAGCAACATCTCCTCAGTAAGTATTAGGCCTACTGTTTGAATACTTTAATTGCAAGCTAACGACAAATTGTAACATATAAATGAATTTAAAAATGATTAAGTAATGGTAATATTACGTTGTTTAATGTAAGCCCCAGCACATGATCCCTTTAGATGTGAGGACGAGATGGAACTCTCTGTATTTGATGATGGAGAGATTTTGTGAACAGTTTCCTGCTGTCCAAGCTGCAGCTAACGGCTTAGAAAGCCCATGGAGAAGGAGAAGTAACTAATGTTTGAAAAAATTTTTAATTACTTATATGAAACTTGGTTGACTATAGCCATTAAAAGGGTTATGTTTGTTGTTTATGCAATATATATTTTTGTTTTGTTTATGTTGCAGACTGGCCAGAATGGGCAATGAGGACCTGAGCAAAGCAGAGGAGTTTGTGCTGCTGATGAGGATGCATTACACATCCACACTTGCTGTCTCCAGTGAAAAAAGTTCAACCTGTGGTCAGAAATTGCCCATCATTCAGAAACTGTGCAAACACAATGCAGGAAGACGACTCTCCATTAATCAGGAGCATCAAGGAGAACATCTTTCCAAACGTTACCAGGTACAGCCACTGACATGTAATGATGGATTACTATATGACAATTAAACATATACACTAATGGTTATTTATTGTCAGTCACATTTTCTTCTAAATTTGTGTTGTTTGTCCTCCATTGTAAACTTAAGGATGATGATATCCAGGCATTCCTGGAGGAAGCCACTGTGTTAGATCTAAATCTAAAATGGACAGGGATGAAATCTGGGTCAGGGTCAGAGCATCAGCAGTGGCAGCAAACACAGACGCAGTTGAGAAGGTATTTGAATTTGACAATGCCTTTAGCATATTTATGTTATGAGACCTTTTCTTCTTGCTCTGTGATTCTTAGACTGTAAATTTCTTCTCAAGCTGTCAGAGCCAAGAGATACACAGGGGAGAGGATGGAGAAGAAGAAGAAGAGGAGGACTACGTAAGTTTATTGTAGCTAATTGTGATGAATGATGATAGATGGCAGGGATTATTACACTATTTAATTTAAAACTAAACCTTGTGGTTATTTCATAATTTCAGACACCACCTGTAAAGCAGAAAAAGAGGACAGCCCATCAAGAAATCCAGCTTTATAGAAGCCTTCCTCCCATTCCAACCAAAGACAGTGCCAGTTTCTGGTGGTGGAAGAAGAGTGACACATTGCCAGTGTTGTCAGCTCCAGCTGAGAAGTATCTCTGGGTCCGAGCGTCCTCCACCCCTTCTGAAAGGGTGTTTTCCAATGCTGGAGACCCCTAAGTCCAGAAAGATCTCGTATCCTTCCTGAGAGGGCAAATATGATAATTTTTCCACACAAAAATTGTTGATAGTTGTGATCTTATCTTTACAGAAGACATCTTTGTATTTTTTATGTCAGGTGAATTTTGTTTCAAGTTGAATCCAAAATATTCCAAAAGGCACAAGCTCTTCCTTGACTGTTTTCAGTCTGGGTTTTTAGTTTTTATGGCACAAAATGGCAGTTGGGCTTAAAAAGCCAAACATTTATTTTTTTTGTCTGGACCAATTAATGTGAAAGTTAACAATTTCCTAATCCTAAGGCATGCTTGATAATCATAAATAATAATAAAAGACACACACTAGTGTGCCATGGCATATGGGTGGGTACACCAACACTGTCCTAGGCTATGGGTCCCTGGACTTTACTTTGAGAAGTAGCTGACCAACTTTTAGGTTTGTTCTGAGGTTGTTACACATAATTTGTGTATACTCTGTGCTGTGTCTTCTGATCAGAAATTAAAGCGAGTTAATACAAACAAACTTGTACTTATTCCCTCACCCAATGAGAATTGATAAGAGAATCGATAAGAGAATCGATAAGGATAATGGAATTGTTAAATTCTTATCAATTCCCATCCCTAGCAGGATGTGTGAGCTTTAAGAGGAATGAGTGTTTCTGAAAGCAACAGCCGGTCAGATAGCTGCTGTCTGAAGTGCTGCTGCATCAGTCTGAGCCTCTGAGAGAGAACGTGATGTGATCAGAGGGAAAGACTCATTTATCATGAGCACACATGTAGGTCCAAACACAGGAAAGCTCCCAGCAGAGATCACAGTAGGTCCTCACCAACACTGACTGAAAGAGTCCAAAAAGAGCAGTGAGCTGAAGCAACACCTCTGGCAGCGTCCCAAAATAAAACATCAGGAGCTTCATGAAGCCCAAACATGTTGCTAACTGTCCTCCTGCATCAGACTGGAGGTGTTCCTGTTATTGTGTCCACCCCCTGTAGAATCACTCTGATCCTCTGTGTGTTGACAGTGTTTTGTCCAGCAGGTGGCGCTCTAACATTAACTACTGATCTGAAGTCAGTTTCAGAGCTTCTACTGCAGATCTGTTTGGATTTAACTAGAAAGTTAGAAAGGAAGTCAAGGAAACTAATAGGACTAACCCCGAATAGTCGAAGGTTAAATGCTTCGATGGGTGGAGCATGATTCGACTGCCAATCTCACGAGAAGGGTCCAGCTGCAGCCCACAAACATACAAACAGACAAACATGAAGGAAGTTGAAGGAAGCTGAACTTCCACTTATGGTTCATCCCAGAAACCTCTATGCTCAAAACATGACGTTTATTTTGGCCACTTGGCAGAAAGACCTACACATCAAATAAGATACGTGTCAACATAGTAATCAGTGTAAATTATGCGTTAATATTTACTATAATAACTATAATTATATATTATAGTACACTAATACTATAATTATTATGTTCATAATAATGATAATAATGAAGCGATGACAGTCCCCTTTCAGACTACTGTTAGTTTTTATTTGTTCCAGTGCTTTGAAGTTTCGCAAGCCAAGAATTTTCTGTATATCACGAGCCAGATGTATCTTGATTTAAGTAAAAACTTACTGAGAATTTAATGCTAGAATAACAGGGGGTATGCACATTACCTGCACCCTGTAGTACAGCTGTTGCTGGACACGTCTGCTGTGTTGGCTGCAGTGGTCTGTGTGACTGGGCCTGGGGGAGCTGACTGGCCGCCGGCAAGCTTTCCCACCCAGGCTGGTTCGCTACCCATGGACCCTTGTTTTCCTTGACACTGCCAGCTAGCTAGCTAACAAAAGGGTGTGTGCTTACACCTAAGTTATTGATTTTATGCATGTCAACCTCCATTGTTTTGCACCTCCGGTACTGCAGCTATATGATATTGACACCCGTCGGCACAAAAACATTTTCGATTCGCCATCAATTTTCGTAAAACTGCAGATATTTGATTCTACGCTGTTGGTTTTGTCGTGGAAATGATATATTGCTGGTGATGGATTAAGCAATCTTGACTGACAAACATAAGGAGTATAGGAGAAGGAAAGGTGAAGAATAAAAAACACAATACATATATATCTATAAGCCATAACAATAATAATAATAATATTAATAATAATAACAATATTAAAAGATAATACATAAAAGATTAAATGTAATTTTCTGCCATAACAGATTTCTCACCTCAAAACTTCTCATAAGTGTATTTAGTGATTTAATAGCATAAACAGCTTAAGTGGCTTAATAGTTCTGTTTGGCCT